AGTAGGAAGCTATATTTTTTAGTCTAACCAATGCGCACCCACCCCTATAAATTTGAGCGGTGAACTAAACTGAAATCCATATACCAGCGAGAGAGAATGAGGAGGCCCCAGACCGAGAGGAAATCGACGAATGCCGGAGCTATTTTCCACAGGCCAGGATCTGAAAACAGCCTCGAGATCCAGGAACTTGCTCGTTTCGCCGTCGCCCACCATAACGACAAACAGGTTTTTTATTTTTCCCTATATATCCTTCATAGTCGTAGTAATTGTGTTTGTTTGTTTCTTGTTATCACAATACTTTGCTGGAGTATCGTATTAGAAGAATCTCGTTGGCGTTTCATATTTTATCCTAAAAATTTGGTAAAACATCTTTTTAGAATCTATGGGTTGTTTTGAATTGAGCTCGGCCAAAGCTGAATTTGGTCATACATAGTGGGGTTTGCAAACATATCTTTTCACGGAGTTGTAGTTCTTGAATTTAACTCGGCGCGATTTGAACAAAGCGGATCGACACGTCATACTTGGTTAACAAAGATGCATGCGTATAACACACGAAATGACATACTTTTGTTTATTTTGTTTTTAAAGTACATACATATCAGTTTGATAGCATGCATATATGCTGAAAAACATATTAAATGTACTTATTTTGGAGTCTACGTACACACTCCTACTCTTTGGTTACTTGCATGAAAGATACGAATTGTTATTGCTGGTGTTGTTTTTCAGAATGTGTCATTGGAATATAAGAGGGTAACGAATGTCAAGCGAGGTCTGGTGGCCGGGTGGATGTACTATCTAACGCTGGAGGCGGCGGAAGGTGGTCAAAACAAGGTATACGAGGCCAAGGTGTGGGTCCAGTCATGGACGAAATTTAAGTCACTTGAGAAATTTAAGTATGTTGTTGACGCCTGAGAAATAAATTTTCGCTTCTTGTTGATAATCAGAGTAAAGAAGCCCAATAAAAGTAGTGTATTTAATTTGGATTCTCTGAAATTTGAGGTGAATCAACTGTGAGAGGTATGGGGATAGGCCTGGTTTCGTCTTCCCTGGAGACCTCGAATTCAATAATTTTAGGCTTGTAGAAGAACAATCTGATCTCAGGATGGCTATCATTTGGACCGTTATGTAATGTCAGTCTCTTTGTTTGGTTATGATGCATTATAATACACACTACATGCTGCTTTTTGGAATGTGATTTTTATAAGTTCATATTTGTGGTTGTTACTTCGTAATCTCGTCCTGTGTTTGTTCTTTCATTTACATTTGAAAGACACATGACCTGACCAAGTGGAGTCTAGACACGAAGTGGGAAAAAATATTGCTGATGGAGAGTTAGCACATATGAAGAATGCTCTCATATTTTTGTTCCAGTTGAATCTCCAGCTTGTTTATTGCACATGCCTAAGGTCTCTCGGTTTAGCAATAGTCGAATGCGGTTATATATGGCTTCTTCACAAATTCTTATGAGGCACACTTGACTTGTCATACATCAAAAATGGGTACTAATTTTATGAAACAATATTATATTTTTTGTTTATGTTACTTTATGAGTATTGAGTATGATATTTTTATTTGAAAGTATATATTTTCGTGAGTATGGCATTACAATTTGGAATTATGTATATTCGTTAAAAAAAATATTTAGCTTTACTACTAGCTTTCACGTTTTCTGGGCTTAGATCATTCTTTTGTTCTTTAAACATTGGTATGTAAGATACTACAAAGCTTGTATTGGACTTTTTTTTTGTTCTTGGTAATTAAGAAACTACAAAGCCAAGGTGAATCAAACAATTAGGTACGAGAAATTTACCCACTTACTTCATTTCATAATTATTTTTAATTACACGAATCTTGTAGCTTATCTTCTCTACCTAATCCCTCTCTCTCCTTCATTTTTCTTTCTTATCATTCTTTCTCTCCTTTCTTGTTCTTTCTTATCATTCTTCTTTCGCAGAGAGATCAAAACCCCAAAGTTTTCTCCGATTTCTCTCAAATTATTTTCTTCCACGCTACTCAACCCAAAATTGACAACGTCGATCGAGATAGGCTGGCGGGGGTCGTGGATAGAAAGCTCAACAGAAGGCGTGGGTAACCGCCGACAACCTTTAGAGAAGAGCGGCTGACTGCGAGCTTCGAATCGGCGAGACGAACGGCATTGGCGGCGAAGGGTCCAGTGTTGTGCGTGCGGTAATTGCTGGGATCGGTTCGCGGCAGACTGTAAAATCGAGAGAAAGACTCAGACACCAAATCGTCATCGTCTTCATCTGTCAGATTTGTTTACCTAATGTATCTATTTACTATAACTAGTCTATGTTTATTTGCATCGTAGTTTGAATATGTAATATTTATGTATCTACATATTTGTGTGTCTAATGTATATGTTCTGTATAACTATACTTTGTATAAGGTTCAATTACGTCAATGTTTGAATATGTCATATTGTTTATCTATTGTACATATACAATATATCTGATCATGTCTGTTTTTTATTTTTTATTGTTTAAGTGGACACCGTTGTACTGTAAATCCGTTTGAATTTTTGAATTCGTGCAACTTAAATTTGTAGGTAGTATAACTGGTGTGATTTTTTTTATTTTTTTTTTAATTTCGATTTTCATTGCGTCGTTTTTACATATATTAATGGCATGATTTTTATTTTGGAGAAAGAAACAAATTTCTTGGAAAGAGAAGAACGGGCATATTAACGTCATGGTTTTTATTTTGGAGAGAGAAACAAATTTCTTGGAAAGATAAACACATTGTAATTGTGATTTCATCAAATCCCTTCTTGATAAATATTTTAAGTACATATATGAAAATAACTCCTATATGAGCTCGCTAGTACATACCCCGTGCGATGCACGGACAGAAATATTAAATGAATTATTTTTACAGCTCTGTCTGTTTAAGTCTAAAAAATAATGGAGTTATCATATACGCAATAGAATGATTGTCGGCTGACACAATTTTTGTGCTCGGAAATAGGCTTTTTCTTATTTCTTATTGCATAATAATGATCAAATAAAAGTTACAACCTTTTTAAAGTATAAACCGTATTGCAGATCACACCACAAAGCTCCTAAGAAACTGATTGAAACTGTTGGAGTTCCACCATACCAGGGGTGGAGCCACCCCAAAGTTGGGATATATGGGCTACAACCCTGTTTTATTTTTCGACTTTAATAGCTCATGTTACATTATATTAGCCCCTTATTTTGGCCCAAAATAAGTTCAATTTGTTTACATTAAATTAATAAATTATATATTCAAGCATGATTTAAGTTTATTTTCACCTTTTTTTGTAGATAATTATGCCTCTTTTATTTCATTCTTGTGTTTATATTTTATTATCTGATTAAATAGATTTTATTTGAATAATTTTATTCTAGACAATATTTGATTGTGTTAGACTTTCATTAGAATACTTAGTATGTAATTGAATTCAATGAAATAGCATATGGACTTAAATGACATGACATATAACAAGAACGACGAAATTAATCATTACATTGTTTTATAGTAGTTCTTTGAATAAATTATGTTGTTTTTTTAATTGAAATAAAACTACATGAGAAAGTATTATCTTTGTACATTTTAAAAGAAAAAAGGATGAAACAATTAAAAATAAATATAGTCATCCTCCTTTCATATAATTTCAAAACGTGTTGAGTCTAAATGGTTGGTTCGCACGCTTCGTAATCTTACTTGACAACATTACATGCTTCGTATTTTAGCTCCAATAAAAATCAATATAATTAAATTCCAAAATAAACAGGTTTGGACTTACTATAATGACATTTCCTAATTGTTTAAACAAAATATTTAATACCATAATTAATTATATTTAATTCAAAGCATTCCATAACACACCTCAACATATGCGATTATATGGGACTAATTTCACATGCAAGCCAAAAATATTTGCATATCTCATACTTCTACAGTATTATAATCATTTTGTTTTACTTCTAATAAATATAAATGTGTAAATACAAACAGAGATCATTTACCTATTTCATACATTTATTATTTAATTTATATATTAGTATATGACTTATTGTGTATTCTTTTTATTTCTAAACCTCTATAACTTTTTTATTTATATTTTTTTTATATATGATATATCAAAATAATCATATTTTAACGATGTTCGATATAATATCCATATGGCATGTATAAAATAAAAAAATCATCTATGTTTATAAATAAAATATCATCAGATCTATTTAAAAAAATCAAATAACAATATCAATTATTTTATAAAAATAATAAAAATCTAATTCATTAATACACCATTAAATAATTGTTTTAATAAATTTTCTCAATAGATTTCAAATAAAATATAGAAATTAAGTATTACATAAATAAATTTTAAAAAATATTATGAAGTATTATTTTCTCAATTTAAAATAGGTTATACAAAAATTTTGAATGTTATTATGTTGTTTAAATAATAAATGTAAAAAAAAATCCTACTTATATATAATAAAATAATTTTATATTTCATAAAGTTAGAATATAATACATTTCTTAATAATCTAATATTCAAAATTATTAAATTATATGAATTTAAAACACTTAAAAAATTAATAAATAAGAGACACTGACTCAATAAATATCAAATATAATAGAAATACAATAAAACTTGTTTTATTTTAAGAAAAATCTAATCAAATATATGGAGTTGTAAATCATATCAATTTTATACATATATAATTTAAAAATTAGTACTAATTTTTTATTTTTTGACAAATTTAGTGTAGAAATGCGGGTTTCATTTGAATTGGTTATCACTTTGTTAGTTAGTAATTATTGTTGGATATTCATTATACATTATTTTATAATAAAAATATAAATTATTTTAATTTTCTTATTATACAAATATTAATATATTTAAATACCCGTGTAGTACACGGGTATCGTACTAGTATGTATAAGAGGGAAAAAGCTACGATCTCGTAACCAAATCATTCCGTGAGAGTTTTTAGCCATTGATTATATACAATAACTAAATTTTATGTATAACCAAAGGCTAAAAGCTATCATGGAATAATTCCGTGACGCGATGGTAGACTTCTCCGTATAAGAGATTAGTTAAAAATTCACAAGTTTTTGTTTAAGGAGAGTCATATCCATGTAAAACACGACTAGTTAGAAAGTATAACAATTTTTATATTTACTGTGTGATTCATGTAATTTATATTAAATTTAAAAATTACTTTTATACTTTGACTTCTTTAAACATGTATCGAGCTAGATTTTCGAATCGAGTATTTCAAGTTCGAACTCGTGCTCATTTAACAAACGAGTAGTCGTAGTTTAGTTGTTTAATAAAAAAATAAAAATTTGAGTTTGAATTTGGCTCGTATTCAATTCATTTAATAACCTTAAAACCTAGAACATAACTAGAACTCTAACTAAATTATTCACGAACATGCTCGACTCATTTGAGGGTGAAATTTTTTCGCTGCGCAACATGTCTTGCAGAGTGACGTCTGGATCGACTCTAGCCTTTGTTGCCTCGTGAAGGGCCTCG